ACACTATAAGAATCATTGATTTACATAATCAATCCCCACATATTTAATTAGTCTCTTTTTATCACAAAAATAATTCCAAATTAATTCTTGATCAATACTAATTAAATAATATGATTTCTCAATTAATATATTATACTTATAATATATTAATAAATCATAAATAACCTTATTCTCAAAAGTCCATCCTATCGAATTGCACTGGTGAAGGCAACCCAAAAGGACCATGCTACTATCGGGTCAAGTACATCCCAATTATAGTTATGGGATTAGACACCTAATCCAACACTTAGCCCCATGGTAATCTAGAGCTCCACAAGCTCTGAACTCTCGGAATGTCAATGTGCGCGCCCCCATAATGGCCGCCATCTCAGTACGGAAGGCTCCCAGCCTATCATCCAAAATCTCCAATATGCCCTCCTTGACCGTACCGAAGATCAAAGGAGTCTAGTCCAGTATACTGCGCGTAATCTCAGCTGATATAAACTCTCTCATATGCTCCTCGAGCTGCCCGGCTCCTGAACCCGAGCTTGATCCCTCACCGGCGCCAGAACCGCCAACTGGTCTAGTACGTAGGGTCACCATGCTGCAACATATCATAATAACCATCAGAATACTCATCGCTATCGAGGGATCACACATGCACTACAAGTTACCTGGTTCTATCTCAACCCTCCTTAAATCGAGTACGGATCCTCTGCTTTCAGTAGTACGGGCCCATACTACCTTCCACATCTATCCGTACTTTCCTCAAGAAATGCTTCGATTCCACCAAGTCCCTTTCACTAATACTATTGCTACCAACACTACTCTCATCCTAGGCTTGCCTTAGGGTATCCTCCATCTCACTCTATGCCATCAGTTGCATAAGAAGTCTCTGATATCTCTCCCTAACTAGCTCGCGAATACCATTACATATCACTCAGACTAGATAATTATTCGAATGAGAGATCCTACCCTACAACGGTTGGACTCAAACAAGAGCTGCGAAATAGAGCTAGACCTAACCTTCTGAACTTTTTTAGTCCTCGCAATATGTAATTTAACATTTTCGTTTGCTAATTAGTAAAAGACAACTAGAACTCCTAAAAGCAAAAAGCAAGTAGCATTCGAGCATTGAGTAAACATAATGAAGCATATACTAATCAGACCATCATACTGACTAATCTGTACTAGCATGTAGTTCATAAAGCTGATACACATATAACATGCACATAAGGCATCCTTCCTAGATCCTTAGTCCTAATCTAGCATGCAGTTCTCATAAAGCTGATACACATAACGTAAACTTGTATGGGTAATTTGGGAGTACTTATTTGAGCTCGGCTGATTGCATGCACCACACCCTTTCCTCTTTTCAAAATTCTTTTTATAAAAATGATTTTACTTTAAAAATTTTCATAACAAGTCCTCAGTTTGAGTCCAGACACACCCGAGAGTGCACCCGAATCCCTCAAACCAAGGCTCTGATACCAACTTGAAACATCCCAAAAATACGGTCCAAAAATTTCGTTTTGATTATTTATAAAAACCATAAATACCACTTGTCATTTCACAAAACCATAAGTAATATATCTCAAATCATCATAATAAAATAATGTATCAAAATCATGTGCCAAATATTAGAGTCTAAACATCCCAGGCTAATAGTTGTGGTGTGTGCCATGCAGTCATCCCGAGCTCTTCCCTTTGCTACCGAAAGTACTGAAACCAAAACTGAAAACTGTAAGCACGAAACTTAGTGAGTCTCCCCAAACTACCACATACCATACAGATAATCACATAATAACATATAATGGGCCTTGTCCGCTACCTCAAGCCTCGCCCGACATCAGACGAATCCGACATTAGGCCTCGCCTGACATCGACACCCGTTCGGTATACAGATCTGTTTCTACCAGGCCCTGCCTGTCTCTGGTCCCCGCGTGCTATACACATACACACATATAATCATAATCATGCTAGTACATAACAGACATACACAACACCATAACTGCTAGTCTTAAGGTCCCGCGTATCTTGGGCCCCACCCCTACTCTGCTAATAATGTGATATGGAACCCCGTCCACACTTAACTAGTGATGAGATACAGGCCCCACCCACACTCACCTCCCTACCACACACATACAAGTATCATAATGACAAAAAGTATAACTAAACATGCATTCCTTCCTCGGGTACCACCCGACATCAAACCGTAGTTCAGAATCATACATATAAACCTTTTCTCGGGCCTCGCCCGACATCGGATCGCAATCCGGAAGAATATAAACTACATCGGGCTAACCCCGACATTAGATCTAAATCCAGTATACACTACCATACATAAACGGGCCGACATTGGTGCCTTAGACCCGTTCCTACTAGAAGAGGACTCACCTCACAAGCTGACTGTAGAATCCTGCGAATAAACCTCTTGCTGCTAGCTGACAGATCCCCAAACTGCTGATCTCTTGACTCCCCAAGTTACCATTACCAAAATAATAATTAGTCCAAGCCAACAATCCTCCTTAGGGTAAAATGACCATTTTACCCCTTATCTAAATTGCTCCAAAACTAAGGCCCCAAAAACCATAATATGAAAGGCTCAATACTAGGTAGACTTCCCCAAGCCCACTAGTGACCCACTAATGTCCCAATTTGCTAAATTGGGCCCAATCCCTTTTATGGGCCTTACCCTAAAGCCCAAATGTATTCTTAGCCCAACCATCTGACTTCTGATGGCCCAAAGTCCAAGCCCATTATGCCCAACAAAGGCCTACTACATTGGGCCCACTAAGGCCCAATTCATCATTAAAGGCCCATTAGGGAAAGCCCAGCAAGGCAAGCCCAACCAGAAGTCCATTACTCTAAAATCCCTAGTCCATTATGAGCCCAAACCAAAAGACAAGTTCAATACCAAGCTAGTCCACAATCGAAGAGTCCAAAACTTGCACAGGGGCTGCTCACGTCGTGAGCTCTTCATGCTCACGTCATGAGGTCGTGGATTCAGTCCAAGAACTTCCTCGAATGCGTTCTCACGTCGTGAGGCTTCATTCCTCACGTCGTGAGTCCAGATCTGATCAAAAATGAATATTAAGATCCTAAACCATTAAGCCTTAACATGAGACAGTCTAGAGGGTCTTCTTTGACCTCAAGGGCCATAAAAATCAAACCTTTTCAGTCACATATGTCCAATATATGACTTAAACACCAACTTGGGTAAAAATGAAGTAAAGAGGTCCAATACTCAAACTTGGAGTCCAAAACCATGAACAAAATTCAGATCTGAGACTTATAAGGCTTAAGGTACCACCATGATCCATAAAGTTGCCAACTTTATGGATTCCATGCATGCTAACCAATATTACAAGCCATAAAATGCATGGAAACTTAGATCGAGCAACCAAGGAAAGGAAAGGTATGAGCTTGAGGATTTACAAAGGTCCAAAAGCTCCACAACTAGCTGATGATGAAGCCAAGAAGCTAACTAATGCACCACCAATGATCTTCTTCTCCTTAATGAGCTTCAAATCCTCCAAAATCTCTTGAATAATACCAAAATGACTAAGAACTTCAATGAGGGTTGAGATTAGGGTTTCCAGAGGTCTTGGAAGTGAAAGAGGATGAGGAGGAGCAACCCTAATAATCTCATACCTTTAAATACCCGAAATTATGGTTTTGGAGCATCAGACACTCCTCACGTTGTGAGCCTTAAATGAACTTGGTCAACAAGTCAACAATCCCTCACCCGAACTACTCCAACTTCAAACGGCCATAACTTCTTCGTTTTAACTCCTTTTTTGACATTATTTATATCCACGGAAAGGTGGCGAGAAGCTCTACACATCTATCAACTTATTCCCACCTCAAAATCTTTGGAAAGAAAATCCAAAATTTATAAAGAGCTCGAACTGCCACTTTACCGATATACCCCCCTTGGCTCCACGGCACAACCCAATTCCCGGATCACTCAATTACATTATCCGTACCTATATGGGTCTAGATCTCTCTTTCCAAAGGCCCTAAGCCTTAAGATAACCCATCTTCAGGCCACGGTCCCGAATTAGGAAAGCGATTCAGAACAGGGCGCTACACATTCACATTATTTACGAGATTATAGATCGAAAATGTATTGTTGAACCGGGAGCAAGTATCTAGGGCTTTTTTTTGTCAGGTATTACGGTAATACTTTGATTCTTGAATTGAAATCCATTTCCATTCGCCAAACTACCAAATCTACCAGGTCCTAGATCTATTCACATCAACTAGATAAAAATGGATGTTGGATTTGAAAACCTGTAGACGTGATTAAAGTGTTAGAAATACTATTTTGAAGGTGTGGATGCACACTACTCACATAGAAATAATATTAGTAGTTGAACAAAATGAAGTATATGCAACTCTGCAAAGAGTAACTGGTGAGTTTCTATAATATGGAGAGGAAGAGGTGATTACGGGTATTATGAAATGGATTTCATGAGATAAGTGATTATGGAAGTTGTTTTAGGGTAAATTTTGCACAAAATAGCTATACATAGTTGTTTATAGTTAGCCACAATAGAATCTCGAGGATTAATTAAGATGGATGAAAGAGGGCTTCTCCTGTCACTAGAGATGTAGGTGGTGGCCAGTGAAGTAAGGTGAAGTGGAGAGAGAGAGAGAGAGAGAGAGAGAGAGAGAGAGAGAGAGAGATTAATTATTTTGTTTTTGTTTTTCTTTAATAATTTTAATTAAAACTGATTATAAAAAAGAAATGAAAAAGGTATAAAAGTTTTTTTTAGGTTGGTCAAGCACAATTTATTAAAAGTTTTGAAACCATGTGAACCATCTATGAGGTTTTCTAAACTTAATGACTAAACTTCAGATTTCAGATATCACATATCACAGGAACCATTTATGAAGTTTTATCATGTTAATATTATGAAGCAACGTTGAAAGACTTTGATATCAAATTTGCAATTAGCTCCTTGAGCTTTCCCATAAAGTTGTTATTTATATTCTCTGAAAACTTTTTATACAAGATGAGGAGTTGGAAAGCTTGGGAAAAAGAAACTCAAACAACCGAATATTTGGTGGCCAATGGTATTATATATATATATATATATATATATATTATATATATATATCTATATATATCTATAAATATATATATATAGAGGTTAAGGTTCTATGGAAACAAAAAAAACCTTAAAAATAAAAAAAAAAATGCATAAAAAAAATATTTAGAGATCACAAAACTTTTTTTTGAATTTTTTTATAAAAAATCGCAGCTTTTTATTAAAATTCGCTGAAAAAAAAAATAAAAAATCAAGTTTTTTCTTTTTTTTTAATAAATTTTTTTTTTCAAATTTTTTTTCAGCGAATTTCTTTAAAAACCTGCGATTTTTTCATAAAAAAAGTCAAAAAAAAGTTATGTGATCTCTAGGTATTTTTTTATGCATTTTTATGATTTTTAGGGTTTTTTTATGGTTTTTTTGTTTTCCAAATAACCCTTACCTATATATATATTATATATATATATATATATATATATATATATATATATAATTATATATATAGGTTTATTTAGGTTTATGTGAGACAATTCATATTTTGTGAGACGGGAGGATGTAATCCTAGCCATTCATTTTAGAGATAAAAAAAATTAAATTCAAAATAAATGAAAATTTTCGAATATTTTTTTAAATATTATTTTCGTCATTTTTTTTAACAAAAAAAAAATAATAATAAAAAAAATTACTGTTTTTTTTCAAAAAATACATGAAATATTCTAATGGAATATTATACTGTAAATATCAAATCGAATTTTTAGAGTGTTAGAATATTCTACTAGAATATTAAACTATAATTATTCAAAAAATTCTAATAGAATATTAGAATATTTTAACAAATCTAAAAACTCAAGTAGAATATTAAAATATTTTAACATATCCATCAATTTTAGTAGAATATTAAAAATTTCTAACATTCTAAAAATTCGATTTGATTATTTACAGTGTAATATTGTATTAGAATATTTCATTCATATTTCGAAAAAAAACGGTGCTTTTTTTTGATAAATTAAATAACGAAAATTATATTTTAAAAAAGAAGTTTTGGATTTTTCCTATTATTTTGCATTTTATAAATTTTTTTTTATTTTTTGGATCTCCAAAATGAATGACTAGGATCGCGCCCCCATGTCTCATAAAATTAAAATAGTCTCAAATGAACATTTATATATATATTAATATATATATATATATATATATATTTGCAATTTTTTTTTTGAGAATTTTGGGGTGGACCTGGGTCTCTCCGTTGCATACACACATTCATATGAATGGGTGATACATAATATATTTGTAGTAGTTTGATATTTTTTTTATATTTTTAAAATTATTATCAAAATTATCCATTTGGATCATGTCATTGTCAGTGTGTTCTTTTTATCTTATATGAACGTATAATGATTTTGAATCCTAAACAGAAATGAGTTGCATAATTATTAATGTATGTCATCAAACAGTAACTGCATGTCATGTTTAATTTTGACATAGATCCTCACCGGTTTAGATTCACTAGACAAACGACATTTGGACAAAGGCATATGAATGATCCAATTGATATGCCAATTCTATTATGGATTGTAAGTTTAACCAAATTATGCCATATTTAAACTATGTCATGTTTCAAGATAATTAATGATAAACGTTTTGCATACATTGAAACAGAAATGTTTCTTTCGGCAATTCTTTCATTCAGTAGCAAAAGTTGACTATTTCACTTTGCGTCATGGATTTATTTCGGTGAGTATGTGTATAGATACCACCTTTATATATATAAAATATCGAAATTTATTTATTTAAATATAAAAATGGTAGGCTCATCTATCAAGAAGCAGCTCTTTCAATTTCCTCAAGTACATACAGCGTTCATTGGAAGATGACTTTAAACTCGTTGTTGGCATAAGGTAAGTTGTGCACTAATACCCCCTACAATTTATATGACTTTCATAACAAACCCCTATGCCCTATACTTTGCAAATCACATCAAAGTCCTTCGAGTATTGAAAAATTGAAACTGACTACTTTTCAAATATGTATTTAAGTCATTAATTCTAAACTGCAGTAATTTTCAATATACGTATCAGTGTATCACTTTCTTTCTTTATGAGTATTTTTATTGACTTTCAAGAAAAATGGTATGCATTTAAGTTTAAAGAAAATGAAAAGGTGCATAATAATTTGTTTTTTTTTTGACATAATTAACTTTTTCACCATCTTGACAGGCCTCTCATGCGGTTTTTGCTCGTTATATTCATGTTAATCGACGTTCACGGTACGCATTAACCTCAACATATTTTGTTATAGGGTGTTTGCCTAAAGCTTAAAAAATGAGCTTTTTAGTTTATTATCGGTTCAACATTAGTATAAGTTAAAATAAATGTTTAGATAGATTATTTTTTAATAACAATTTATAAAGGTGAAATAAATGTTTGGATAGATTGTTTTTTAATAGAAGTTTATAACGGTGTGAACCAGAGATAAGTCATTTTTGATATCTTACTAACACATAACTTATCAAAACTCTTTATAACTTATAGTTGTCCAACATCTCTAACATTTTTTTGGTCATTTTGTCAAACACTAAAAAAGACTTCTTAACTTATAATGTTTTGACATCGGATAAACTAATCCAAACATTATTATTTTTTATTTTTTTAAACTCCGTTTTGACACCACAATAAGCTAATAAGATATAAGTTAAAAGTGATTATCATTTTTAATAAGCTTAGCTAAACACCCTCTTAATCATAATTAGTCTCATTAGAACTCTAATTCACGAAACTAATAATACCATACGAACATGCAAATTAGGTTGGCACATGTATTTATGGGTATCTTTCCTTCCACTCATTGTAAGTTATACCTTATGCACGACCATCGTAGAGTCTATTGTTTCCTTATTTGATTTCTTTTTACCCCAACTAATCACTAATTAGTCTTTATGTTTTTTTAACATGATAGATAGTTTTGGTCGTTGGAACCAAATTACAAGTGATCGTGGCAAGAATGGCGTTACAGTTAAAGGAGCAAAACAAAGTGATCATAGGAGCCCCTTTGGTTACACCTAATGACAATCTCTTCTGGTTTAGTAAACCTCAATTAGTCCTAACTCTCTTGCACTACACACTCTTTATGGTAATAATTTAATCTCTTGTATCAGTAATCATGATTATTATAAGTTTGATCTCATTATATATATGTTTCCTATAAATCTATATTGCAGAATGCATTTGAGGTTGCTTTTATCATATGGGTTACGGTAAATTTGTTTTCCATGAACTTTAAATGATAACACACAGACTACAATCTTAACAACACATATATGATATGTGTTGTAACTTGTAAAGAAGTTATATTATATATAACATACAACTATTTTCTGTTTAATCTAAATAACTATGGTTTAAAGATTATATAAAAACTCCTTGTTGTTATTGTTATACAATTTTACAATTGTATCATCATTTTGCAGTTACAGTATGGGATAGACTCATGCTTCCATGAAACAAAATCTATAGTAGTCGCAAGGATTTTGTTAGCGTAAGTTACACAAAGTACCATTCACTACCCTCAATAATTATATCTAACCACTCTGGTCTTCAAAATTTAAGAAAGTGAGATTTTTCCACCAAAGTTTGAACAAATCCAATATTGCGCCAAAACTGAAATATGTTTTTGACATTGTTGTTTCTAGGGTGATTGTTCAAGTCATTTGTAGCTACATTACTCTTCCCCTTTATGCTCTTGTGACTCAGGTTCTTATCCTATTTTAGTAACCATTGTATAAAGTTTTTGTTTATACCTTTTTGACTTAGTAGCTAATATATGGTAAAATTTCCGTTGATCGGTGGAATAATAATTCTAATTCACAGATGGGTTCAAGGTTTAAAAGTGCAGTGCTACAAGATCAAACGAGGGAAATGATTAAGCAATGGCACCAGGAGGTGAAACAGAATAAAAGAAGACAATCTCTAACACCTCATGATAGTCCAATCCCACACATAGTTACTCAAATGAACACCACTGAGATTATTCCACAACAACGAACATCGACACTTTCTAAGATCGCCCCTCGTGGCATCGAGGGAACTAGTGAGATTGTCAAAGATATCCAAGAAGTAGATTAAGTATGATTTAAAGTCTAGTAAAAAGTAATCTAGCATTATTGATTCATTTTTTTAATGCATTATGCTAAGTATCAATATGTATTATGAGTATTATTGATACTATAATTATGATATTAAATATTTTTAAATAAGAAAATAACAATATGCTAATGTATTTCACTCAATCAAGAAAACAAACTAATTATTTACTTATAATTTAACATAATAGTTTCATATATCTACTCCAATAAATCAAAGATCATTTATGCTACATGTCACTTTCTCATGAGCTTTGACTCATGTCATTTTGTGATATTTTTTAAATAAATAATATCTACTTGTTAATATTTTTTTTTCAATTTTCATAAATTTAAATGCCATATAATACTAATATTTATACATGTATAGTACTAGATATAATGAATGTGATAATAAATGACAAACCTTTTCAAGAATGTCTATCTTCTTTCTGATTTCAAAACTCCTAAACTAAATGCAAAATTCCCTGATACTTTCCGAGGTTCGTTGTATAATGTTGATGTGTGTGTGTGTGTGTGTATATATATATATATATATATAATATATATATATATATATATCTATATTATATATATATATATATATATATATATTGTAACACCTTGTTTCGAGTCGTTTCACAATTCGGGGCCGTGACCCAAAGATCAAGTATCATAAAGCTTCGGGCTTTGTGGGAAGAGAGGTTTAGGCCCATTTGGATGTGGGTAATGTGGCTACGTGATCCAAGAGTTCGGTTTGTGCTTTGGAGTCAAAGGGTAAAATGGGAAAGTAGTGTTTCAGACTTATTTTATGAATTATGGATTTTAGTTTGATGTGTTTTAAGTCAAAAGTAATTAGATAGGGTTGTAGAGGTCCTCAATACAGTTCCGTGGATATAAAGATCGTCGAAAACGGAGTTGGAACGAAGAAGTTATGACCGTTTGAAGTTAGGAATGTTTTGAGCTTAGTCTATTACGCTGGGCGTAAATTCAGCACGTTGGGTGTACTGAGTATGCTGGGCTTAAATTGAGTGTGCTTGGCGTACGCGATCAATGCCCAAACCCTATTTTTGTGGTTTGAGCCCTATTTAAGCTCCTTAACTTCCCCAAACCCATTCCATTGTCAGCCTCCACCTCTCCAACACCATCTCTTGTAACCCTAACCCTAGATGGAGCCTTGCGAGCAAAAAGAAGGCGTTTTTAAGTTCTTTGGAGTGTTCTTAGAGCACCTTGGAGAAGAAGAAACTCATTGAAGAAGTGTTGGTTGCATTGGAGCTTGTAGATCCAAACCTTGTTCACCTTGATCTATCTTCTAGAGGTATAAAGTTTGAATCTTGATGATGCATTTATTAGATCTAGCTAGTTTTGGATATTATGAGCTTTTGGTCATTTTTAGTGCATAAAGTTTAGATCTTTAAAGTTTGTGACCTTGTTATGGATAAAGTTGGAAATTTTATCCATCTAAACATCAATGTGATTTAGATATGAAGGTGGGAGACTTGGACTTAATAGATTAAGATGAAAAAGATGCACTTTTGGCCCCTTTGATACTTAAGGCCAGATCTTGGTGGTTTGAACCATTCTAATGGATAAAGTTGGAAACTTTATCCACTATGGAGCTTTTAGGATCCATAGAAATGTGACCTTTATCCTTCTATCCCTTCCATGAAAGTGTTATGATGTCGTAATGGATTAATAAGTTAAGGTTATGGCTTTTGGACCTTTTCAAGACATGGAAAGTCATAAAGGTGAAAACTTTATGACTTATAATGATGTTGTGGGACTAGATCTAAGCGTTGTATGA